ACACGGTGGGTAGCAATGTACTTGCTATGCATGTGTATGTGTAGGTGGACATATATGTAGGTATGCGTGTGGAAGTCAGAGGACAACCCATTGGACTCTGCTTTTTCTTCCACTGTGTGGAAGCCGGCAGCAGACAGCAGGGGCTTGGGAAGGCGCTCTGTAGTGGCTTCATGCCCAATGGGCTAATGGCCACTTTTGATACACATCCTCTGAGTAATGTGTTCCATTTTTAGTGTCTTACACAGAGGCATCATGGGAAGATGGCGACTCAGAAAGATGATTGACCAGCTGAGGCAGAGGGAGGAGCAGGCAGCCCCTGTGAGCACAGGGCTGTATGTGCTGCCCTGAGCAGCCTGGCTAGGGTGTGACGATTGGACCTGTTGCTGAAGTGACCTCCTCTTGATCCTTCCCTGGTCTGGACCTCCTCTCCCCTTGCCAGGAAGCCAGGCTCTGCTTGATGCCCCTCTGCAAACCCCACCCCACCTGCTCCATCCTCCTCCAGATGTCTGCCCCATGCAGGCCCAGGACCACGGGCCAGGATGAGCAGGAGGCAGAGAGGTGTCCCTGGAACAGTCATGGTGCCATCCCAGGCAGGTACAGGTTGAGGACCAGTAATGTGAAAATCCCCAAATCTGAAGTACCTGACCTTACGAGGCAGTGCCTAGTCAAACACTGTGGTGATATCTTGCTTGTGCAAATAAAGCCTGTCTGAGGGTCAGAGAATGGAGCTTGCCACTAACTAACCATAGAGGTCTGGAGGTCTGCACAGATAAACAGGAAGTGAGGTAGCTGGGCGGAAACAGGCTATAAGCAGGGAGAAACAGGAACTCTTGTCTGCTGAGATGATACGGATGTAAGGTGTGGCTATGGCTTACTCCTTCTCTCTGCTCTCTCAGCATTTTCCTCTATTTCTGACTCCTGGTTTGTACTACTTAGACCAATTAAGAACTCCACGTACAACACAGATTTTATTTTTTAAGTTACCACAAAGGGTCATAAAATGACACAGGTGCCATCTGGATGACGCTAGCAGGCTTCCGAGGATGTTCCACACAGGACCAAGGCCTTTGCGTGTGACCTAGTGTGTTTTTTGATCTTCCCTTGTCATGTAAAAGGATCAGTGCAGATGTCAATAAGACCCTTGGGTTCTGTGTAGGTCTCAGCATTAAGAGAAAGTGTTCGTACTTACCCATAGCCCAGGAAGCCAAGCTGCAGGGGAAGCTGGATTGTGTGCAGTCTTTAAAGAAACGTTTTAGCTCACTAATTGTGTGTGGCGGGTGAGAGGTGTGTACATGTGTTGAAGACAACTTGTGGGAGTTGGTTCTCTCCTTCTGCCATGTGGGCCTTGGGTTGGTGGCCTGGAAGGTGGTGTCTTTCAGAGGAATAGGGCATGACTGCCCTCCAGGCATGGCCCAAGGAACAGAAGGGCGCACTCGTGATGTCTGGGCTGAATGTGTGGAGTTGAAGTTAGTAGACAAATATGAGAACCCCAAATTCTGATGGAACTGTCTTCCAGCTATTGTTGTAAGATTTTATATATAACACACAAATGGATTTTGTGCTTAGATTTGGATCTCATCTCCAAGGTATCCTGCTATGTACCCGTGAATATTCCAAAATCTAAAATTAAATCTGAGGCCCCAACACTCCTGTTCCTGAGCATTCCAGAGAAGAGATGCCAGACTGTACGCTGATCACAGAGCTTTCTCTATGGAGAAGGTTAATGGGTGTTGGCCAGAGGACTGTGTGGGACATCAAAGACACAGGGCAAAGGTCAGCCAAACCTGGGCCTCTGTATCTCTGAGCTGAGAGACTGAGTCAGCTTCTATTGCACTCAGTGTGAGCTTGGGTTAACCCAAGTTCTATGTGCATTTAGTAGGTGTTGGAGACGTTGTATTATCCCTGTCATGTTTCCCTAGGAGATGGGGGTTCTGGGAGTTTTCCTTGGAAAGAAGGAAGGCCCAAAGGAAAAGGAATGGCGACAGCCCTGTATTTAGGGGGTGAACAAAAGCACAGAAAGCTGCAGATTGAGCTACTGTACGGGGATAATTACGGCTGCTATTTTTGCGCATTTGTTTAACAATGTTAATTTGGCGACAGCCTGGTATTATAACATCCTCTCCCACACAGAAGTGGCTTTAGTTCCCAGTCACCAGAATCCATTTGCATTTTCTCTGTAGGGTTTGGGGCTGGGAAGCTGGTGACTCACTGCTTTGGTGGCTCCAAGAAAGGATCTTCTCCCTGTGAGAGTGGGACTGGGGGGGGGTTAACTCGTGACACTGCCACCCTGTGATGGGGGAACTTGACGCACCACCAATCTCCCTCTGAATGGCCTGCTAGCCTCACGCTAGGCTTCTTCTATCCTGGCAAAAGACTGACTATTCTTCAGTCATTTCACCAGAGCAGATTTTTTTGAGAACTCGGGAAGTGGCTGTTTAATGTCCCAGGAGCACAGGCCCAGAAAGTATATAATGCATATTCATGAATTGAAGACAAGGTCGAAGAATGGCTTCTGAGGGAGGCCCGGCAAAATGTCACAACTAGACGTTGCTGGAAACATCTCAAATGCCTCTCTACTGGGGACCACACATGTGGGTTCCAAACAGGATGGGGACCAAGACAGAGAAGCCACTGCAGAATGAAACTGGGCTACACTTGTCAATGGCTACAATGTCCTAGGTATATGTCATAGGCCACATGAAAAAAACACTAGTACTAGATTCCATGGCCAAGTAAGTGTCTAGGTCCACCTAGCAATTCACAGGAGATAGAAGGAACAGATAATCAAAACCACCAGCAGTGTGGGGATCTAGTCACAAAACTCCAAGCTGTGGGATACTCTTGTGGGTAGACAGACAGAAGAGAAAGAGGATGAACCCAATGGCAAGAGGAAATGGGTTCTGGTAATGGCATATCTTAAATAACTGAGAAAGTCAAACGTTAACTCAGGATATTTGGTAAATTAGAAGTCTCACGGCTCACATGGGCAAAGCTTTGGTACCACCTGCAGCCCTCCCCCCGAAATATTTTCACTGTTTTCCATGTGTCATGGGCATTGGGAGATTGAAAGAACCTCGTTTCTTACAGATGTACAGTGAACTAGTTGCTGGGTAAATGGCCCGGTTTTAAAGATTTGCTGCTAAACAATCCAGAGCTGGGCGTGGTTGGTCCTTGTCGAGGCTGAGTGAGGGCACAAGGGACATCACTGTGCTGCCTTTGCTGCCGGCTAGCTTTTGTATATGTGTGTTTGCTTGTGCGTAGGTGTGCACGCAAGTTTGCGTGCACATGTGTGAGTGTGTATGTGGAGGTCAGAGGTTGACACTGGGTGTCTTCTGCTCCTTGATTGGCTAGGCTGGCCGGCCAGAGAACACTGAGGATGCTCCTGTCTCTGATCACTTCCCCTGGACTAGGTTTGCAGAGGTAACCACTGTGCCTGGCTTTTTTTCATGAGTGCTGGGGATTTGAACTCCGTTCGCCATGCTTGTGTGGCAGGTACTCGACTAAGCTCTCTCTGCAGTCTCTCTCTCCTACTTTTGAACAGGTTTGAAGGTGTCATAGTGAACAGTATCGCCTCCCCCCCCCACAGGGTTTCTTTGTGTAACTGTCCTGGGACTTGCTTTGTAGAGTCGGCTGTCCTGGAACTCACAGAGATCTGCCTGCCTCCCATTGCTGGAATTAAAGGTGTACACCACCACCTCCTGGCTAGTGCTTTTAAAATAATAGATATCTTGTGGACTTAAGGCTTTGGTGTCACACCAATCTAACCTTCAGTTCTTGGGCTCTGGGGGCCAACTAAAGGACATTCCACATCATGCTGTCCCTTACCACGTCTCCTCTACAGTCTTTCCTGCACCCAAGTGACAAGGTTGACAAGTTCACCAGCTCAGATGTCCAGATAGGATCATAGGTCTTTTATGGTGAGATAGGAGCTCTGTTCCTAACTGCTTCTTGATAAGGCAAATCACTTAGGTTCCCTGTGTGCCTTCCACTGTAAAGACAGAGAGAAAAATGCTCCTGTCATGGTACAAATGCAACCTGTGGGACTGACACAGACATTGTGTTAGGCAAGGCCAGGTGCTTCCAAACTGGCAACATGGGGTCGTCGGGGCTGCCACAATGGAGGATGTATCTGCCACCAGCACATGGTGGGTTGAGATGGTGCTGAATAGTCTGGCATACATACAGAGAATATCCAGGTCAAAGTATCAGTGTTTCTGCGGTGAAGGGATTCTTCCGTGTTTGGGTAGGGTAGCTGGGTAGGGGGATGCTCAAGCCCTGTTTGTGGGATTAGAAACCAGAGAGCCTGGATGGGGATATAGCTCAGTGGTATAGATTTGCCTAGAGTGAACAAGGTCCTAAATGCAATCCCAAGTGCAAGCAATAAACAAACAAAATAACAGCCCCTTCTCCGAAGCCTTTATGCTGAAGGCAAGGAGGCTGTCTGGTTACATAAAGCACATGCAGGCATCCTTGGTCTTGCCTAAAGATGCAATCGGTCATCAGGTCTGCAAGGAGAGCCTTAGGCTGTGACTTAGCCAGTACTTTGTTCAAAGTGACCCTGGGCCCTGCAGAGCCTGGGCCCTGCAGAGTGCTGATGATGGCATTGGCATCAAACCCTGGAGGGGATCCATGTGAGACCCTGGCCTCTGGGTTTTATCATCTTGGCATCTGTCACTGAGATTTTTCACTAGAACTTGGGTATAAGGCAGTGATGTGTACTGTGGAGTACAGTGAAACTCAGGGCCACGGAGCAAGACAAGACATCATGAAAGCCCAACTGGGTGAAGAGCATATGTGTGGTGAATAACATAAGCATCACTTATGGAAGAAGATCTACACATAAAGAAACCATAGTGCCCATCTGAAAGAGCGTGTAGCCCAACAGGGTATATTAAATACATTTGTATGATACTCATGGACAGTGGCTGGGAACGAAGGAATGAAACACCAAGAGCCAGTGTGGACCACCGGTTAATGCAGAAATATTAAGATACACAAAATAGGGATGTCCATGATATTTTATTGAGAGAGAAATCACTTACATGAGAAGCCAAGAAAGCCGAGAACCAGAGGTCCGCACGCGGCTCTCCAGGCTACAACCGGAACCCAAAGAGAAAGAGTCTCCTCCCCTAGCTCTTTTTACCCCCAACCCCCCGTACGTTCTACGTACCTGTGAACACACCCAAATGGGTATGGTCAGCGCTACGGGTACGTAGACTTCTTTCTACAACTGATGGGTGTGTGCCGTGCTCTGGAAGGCATGCTTTGCTCAGATTCTGCACGGGCAGTGGCAGTGGGACACACTCGCCTGACCAGGTGTCACAAGTCTTCCTCCAGTTGTTGGTGAGCCAGAGTGGGAAGGCCTCGGCCCCTGACGGGCTTCAGTCCGGAAGAGCCCAAATTGAGGGTTGACGTCGTGAGTAGAGACGGCAGACGAGAGGTTTGGAGGCTCTTAGGGAATGATGTGTCATCATTGTTTCCCACTCAGGGAGGCCTTTCCCTCCCTCTCTGATTATTGGAAGGGAACATTTGCCAAGCTGAATATTTAGAATTGCAGATGCCAAATTCCTGGGAGTGAAATAAACTTGCAGAGCATAGCAATCATTACCAACTCTGACTAAGTCTCTAAACCCCACCCTGTGTGTGTGTGTGTGTGTGTGTGTGTGTGTGTGTATCAGAGGTCTCAATGTCCAGTGTCTTATTTAACCAGACTCTGCTGTACTTTTCTTGAGACAGGATTTCTGACTGAGACTGGGCTCACCAGCTAGAATGTTTGACTGGCCAGCCAACCCCAATGATCCTTCTCTCTGCCTCCCAGTATTGGGATTACAGATATGTGCTTCTATAAGGGTTCTGGGAATCAGACTTCCATCCTTGTGTTTGATTGACAAGCACTTGATCGAGCTGACTCCTCAGCCACCAAGTTCCTAAATCTGTTCAGAAACTTCTTTAGGCCTCACGATCCTTCCATTCGTAGGATGGAAAAGGCTAATTGTGGCCACAAAGACCTGCTCTGAATGATACACTTCAGTGAAGGCTGCAAACATGTGCTTATGATGATGTCTAATGATGCCTCCTGTGGGAGTGGAAGCTGAAGTCACGGTATCTTAACTGACATTCACAAGAGCTTGTACTTGAGTTCACGAAAGTGGATTTTTTATTGGGTGAATGCCAAGCCTGACAGCTGACCTTGACATTCAGGGCATCAAGACTTGCTGTGGATTTCTTAGATGACACTCACTTGGAATCTCTCATGGGGCAGACTTAACTTCGTCTTTACTATCTTCTAAATACAGACAACTTATCTGAGGAGACTGTACAATTTTTGCTGTGTTTGGGATTTTTAAATAAAGATTTATTTATATTTTATATGTATGAGCGAGTGTTTTGTCTGTATGTAAAAGTACACCATATGTGTGCAGTGCCCATGGCGACCAGTAGAGGGCATTGTATCCCCTGGAACTTGAGTTATAGGTCAGTGTGAACTACCATGTGGGTAGTTGGTACCAAATCCAGGTCCTCTGTAAGAGCAGCAATTGCTCTTAACCAAGGAACCATCTCTCCAGCCCTCGTGTTTGAGTTTTGAAAACAATAGATCATAGAGTGTCCTCACACAGGTTGCACCGAATCTGAAATGGGGCAGGAGATATATGAATGTGGGTGGATTTAAAATAAATTCTGACTGAAGTGGTATTCGCTCTGAACGTGGTGATACATGGTCCCTTTATGGCCCCTCAAGCCTGGTTAATTAATGATGGATGAGTGCAAAATGAATTATTCAAGAGCCAGCAATGAAGATTGGCTGAAATTCTATAGAAGTTTTGAGACTACAAGGTCACCTTTGAAGATCTGTTGGCCTTCCTCAGGACCGGGTGTCCATTCTTGGCTCTGGCCACAGGAAGAAGAGCAGCTTGGCTCTGGAACGCTTAGCACTTGCCATCCTGGTCCTCAAGGGCAAGCTGTTGTTGCATCCTAATGAACACCAGTTTGAGGGATGGCTCTGGAGCCGAAGTACTGGGCTTAAGGCCATGAACTTGTCACCTTGCCCAGAGGCACAGTCTGAGAAAGTGAGGCCACTAAAGGTTGGGAGGAAGCAAGGATGATACTGGGACCTTGGTGGCCTAACATGCACTCTTTTATTCTCTCTTTCTTGCATTTTGTGAGAAGCCAGTAGTCCCCAAGAGGACTAGTGACAAGGTGGCTTTTTCCTCATCTCTCATGGTAAATTCCATCATATCTAGGCCCAAGTTCTTAATCTTGAGACCAGAGTTCTCCAAGGAACTTAAAATTTTTCAGGGGGTCTAGAACCCCATCCTTGGAGCCTAGAGTATGCAATGACCTTGATTCAATCTAGAAGTTTGTCAGAGACACCGCCCTCACCCCCAGAAAACCATCTGGATCTCGGGGCTGGGGAAGCATGGGAAAAGCCAATAGTGAAGTGATGTCTTGTGTTTCCAAGGCAGTCACCACAGTGGATGCCAACTCTCTTTCTACAATGGAAGCGTGGCTTCTCAACTCTTTTTTTTTTTTTTTTCTTTTTTGGCTTTTCAAGAGAGGGTTTCTCTGTAGCTTTGGAAGCTGTCCTAGAACTAGACCAGGCTGGTCTCAAGCTCACAGAGCTCCGCCTGCCTCTGACTTCTGAGTGCTGGGATTAAAGGCATGAGCCACCAATGCCCGGCCCGGCTTCTCAACTCTTAAGTAGCAGGATCTATGTTCCTACACTTCAATATGAGTGGTTTGATGATCACAATTAAAATGACTTTGGGTCACTTCCAAGGTTTCTTCAAAACATGCAATAAGGCTCCTTGGATGCTCTTTCTTGGCTCCCAGCTGTTGGGCTGTGAGGAATCCCATCTCTACACAGGGGTTCCAGCTAACAACTGTAACTCCTGCCTGCCAGTAGACCCCAATGGCCAGACAAAGATGTCTTTAAAATAATAGCCACTGCTCAAATTCACCTTTCCATGAGACTCTTTCCAGAAGCACCTTGCTGAGGCCTGGCCAACCCCTTCAGATAGTCATGACATGACTGCTGTCATCTTAAGTTTCCGGGGAGATAATTCTTTCTATACTAATAGACAATCATCCTATTTCCCTGGTCCAGGCATGAGTATGTGACCCTGAAATGGCCAGGGAGATATGAGGTGAGTCTGCAGGGCTTGTTCTGGGAAGGTTGTTTTAGTCACAAGGGACAACAAAAGAAGGGGTACCTCCTGCATCTCTGCTGCTGTAATTGCATCCCCCATATGTGATCATCTTGCTGCCGACCCAAGGATAAAGTCAACTCCAGAAAGCACAACCAAGATTTGGCAAGAGCTGGGTTTATATACTTACATGTGTGAGTAAAAACCTTTTGGATAAGACTATGAATAGCTTCTGAGCTCAGTTTACAGATGGAAAAGAAATTACGATAGTGGTAATGTGTCGATACATTTCATCCATACCCTCATGGGTGAAGAGAGGGACCCAGACCGATTGTTAGGGAAGAACACATGGCCAGTTCTAGGGTGGGATCCTCCTGCCCCCCCCCCGACTCGACATCTCAGCCTCTAACAATACCATGGTCAACAATCAGCTTCCAGTTAGGAGTAAATTCTATTTTTTCCCCATGTGTACAAAAAACAAGCCTGACACAGTGACAGAGAAAGTGTTTTAGAGTGAGAAAAGTGCATCTTAGGTGTTAATAACGTTGACAAAAATTGGAGTCAAGCATGTCTAAACATTGGTCCAGCTTGAAAATCCCACTTAGTTTCAAACAGACTCTTGCAGACAGCAACGGAAGCACATGATCCCTGCGAGGCGCTGATGGGAGTGGGAAGCTGGGCCTGGCAGCTGCTCTCAGTTCACAGGCAGATACGGAATTTGGCATACGAGAACAATGTGGACCAAATCATTAGAGGTGTGGGTGTGGAGAATGGGCTTGGAAACAACTTCAGCTGAGCTACTCAGAATAGAAGGGGATGCCCAAGGATTCTCAGTGAGTCAGTGTCTGAACGGAGAGACTGAGATGGGCTTCTCTGGTCTTTCCCTCCTCCTGTGCTGTGGATCCAGTGGAGTGATCTGTTACAAAGCAACCTGTGCATGAGGGGCTGAGCTGGACCCTCTCCCAAATTTGTACTCTGCGACCCCAGGCTCCAGTACCTCAGTACGTGAATAAATTTGTACACGGGCACTTAAATGATTATATTAATAGTGAACATCAAATTTATTGGAATGAGTTCTAACCCATAGATTATATCTTTATGTTTCTTTTTTTTTTGAGTCAGAGTCTCATGTAGCCCACACTGGTCTCAAACTAGCTTTGAGGGTGAGAGTGACCTTCCGCCTCTACATCCCAAGTGTCAGGGCTACAGATGTGTGCCGCCACACCTGGAGTATGTAGTGTTAGGGGTTGAATCCAGGGCCTCGTGCATGCTAGACAAGCATTCTACCAACTGAGTTAACATCCCAGCCCCTGGTGTCCTTTTAAGAGGTAATTTGGATATCCCCCACCCCGGAAAAAAAAGTCTTAGAGGCACATGGGCACAGAGCAAGAAGGTGGCCATCTCTAAGCCGGGAGAAAATGCCCCACCGATCAGTCCTCTGACAACCTGATCTTGAACTTATGGCCTCCTCCACGCTGACTGAGTCAGTGCCCTTCTGTGGACACCAGCTGTGTGTTTTCCTGTGCCACGAGCCAGAGCCTGGGGGTTACCCACTGTGGCTCTGTGTGTCCAGAGACACTTGGCGTCTTAAAGAAAGGGAGGCACAGCAAAAATACACAGCAAAGAGAGTGCCTCACTGGCTTGCCTCTGCAAATTCTCAGAATGAGCAATGGTCGAGCTGAGCCGACACCTGGAGAGCCATGGGGGGGGGGTTATGGACTTCTCGGAAGTGGTTTGTAACCCCCCAAGCTTCCCCATCAGGAAAGTGGTTGTCACATTGTCTGGCTTTCTGGAGGCATGTGATTTGCCCACATATGTCACATAACTGGGAAGCAGATGCTTCATATTAGGACTAAATTGGCAGCCCCCAAATGTTCACAGGCATCCTTGGCAAGGCAGCTGGATCATCTGGAACCTGGCTTGTTTGGGCTCAAAATGCACTGTGTCGTCAAACCTGGCTTGCAGCTACCGTGTCCTTTGGTAATACAGATACCTGTCTGCGTGATTAGTCCTTAGAGCCTTGGATGGAAACATGGTCCTTGAAGTCAGGGACAGTGCCCCCAGGTTTGGACACAGTGCTTGGAGCTCTGAACGCAGAACCATCAAACTCTTGAGTTCTCCTCATCAGTCACTTTTTTTGGGTTAAGGCATCAAGAGCCCCTGTGAAATGCCTTATCAAGGGGCTGTGTGTATTAAGACATCTTCAGCCATTAACACCTTTGTGACTTCACTGGCACCACTGGACACTTACCTTATAGTCCCTGACCAGGGCAGCTGCATTCTGGAAGGATGAACGGCAGAAAGTCCAGGGCCTTGGGGGCAGTGTCACACAGAGTGTTTTGTGGAGAGAGGCCAATGACATAGAAGGATAGAGCATCTCATAAGGAACTGTTTGCTCGGGGTTTCTGAGCCAGCCAGACCGCTGGAGCAGAGTCACCTTTTGGCCTCACAGCATAGATCATGGATGGAGAGCCCGGCTGGTTGGCAAGTGTTCAATTCTGGCTTTGTCTGTATCAGAAACTCGGCAACTCCAACCTGGCCTTGGCTGACCCGGAAGTGCAGGGATAAAATACGACTAGAACATAGGCATCTTCAGACACAGCACGGCAAGGGGTGCTTCTGGCTTCCCAGGGGGGCCATGGCTATGATTGGCACTCTAGAGAAGGGACTTCATCCACGCCCTCAGCCAATCAGCATGCCTATGACTCCAGGCTCTGATGCCCACTGCGGGAAGCGCTACTCTGGGAGCAGGGAGAGGATGTGGTTAAGTAGCAATGGCTAAGCGGGGAATGGCTTGGGCCTCGGCTCAGGGGGAGAGGGAAAGGCTGTCCAGCTATCCAAAGTTCAGGCGGGAAGGAGACCAGGGCTCAGCAGGGGGACGACGACATCTGGTCATAGTCTGGGCACTTGAGCAAAGCTGGGTAGTTGCTGTTCATCTGTAGGGAGGCATCGCTGGAGATGTCTGAGGGGCTGCGGCCCCGGATCCAGGCATCTGGATGTAGAAACTGGCCAGAGTAATCCGAACAGTTGCTCAGGCGTGGCCGGTAGAAGCCTGGGTGAGGTCTGTACATGTCCTCAGCAGTATACCTCTTCATGAACAGGTACACAGACATTACTCCAGCACTCTACAGCGAAAGAGAAGCCGAGGAGAGCTTACTGGGGGCGGGGGAAGAAGGGAGCGTCTTGTAATGCCCCAGCTGTGTCTTCCTGGAACACAGCCTCTCTAGTGGGATGGCCAGTGCACATGTGGACGGGAGTGGGTGGGTTCTGGGAACTTCCAGGATAGAAGAGATCCAGGAAAGCCAAGGAGAGGTACATTCCCGGGAAGAGCGGTAGGGTGGGTAGTTCAGGGTGATGTGGAACGTTTCCATCCTCCCTTCCAGGTAGGGCAGTGCCAACCTGGCACAGGACAGTATGGGGTAGGTTACCTCTGTTAAAAGGAAGGATATGGCAGCAAAGGCAAACGACCATCCGTATTTGTAGTTGAAATAGGTCTCTGAATCCTTGGTTCTGTTGAGCATCTCATCATTGATGCTGGAGATGTACAGCACCAGGCCCACGACAAGAGAGAGGCCTGGATGAGGGAGGGGGAGGGAAGGGCACGTTCAGCCTGGAGGTCTGGGGAGTTTGCTAATATGGTACCCACTGGGAACAAAGTCTTCAGTTTGGGGTTCCAGAGTGAGCATGAGCTTGCCCCTCATGACTCTGTCTACACCTGTGTCTTCTAGGGTTTGAACAGGTGTAAGTAGGACATCTCCCTGTCCATCCACTCTCCTGAGTCAAGACAAGCCTCGTGATTGATACACCCAACTCAGTCAGGCATACCCTCCTGAGTACCCCTGTTCACTGGGTCTGCTCTGGGCTTCTGGTATTATTTTGTCCTAAAACATTGATAGGATCCTGGGGTGTGAACCCTGAGCTACCAAGAGGATTTTCACTAATGTGAGGACTGAGATAATGCTCCTTGCAGGGACTCTAATCCCTGTCTCTAGCAGTGGATGGTACCTATCTCTCTGGAGTCTGTCAGTGTGGCCCAGGGCCTATGCAGACCACTTGGTTACACAGGGCATCACCTCTGAGGTCTTCAGCCAGGAGATGTAAGGGAAGTTTATTCAGATCCTGGCCAGCATTGAATCAGGAGACCTCTGGGACCCCAAACTCCAACTGCCATTGTGCACATGACTGCCTCAGGCAGCAGTTCCATAAATTAGTGACTGTAATTGAGTCAAGACATAATTAATTACTCTACATTGAGTTGCTCAGGTGTCGTTCCATTCACATTATTTTATGAAACTGGGGCCTCTCTCCGAGGATGGATGTTAAAGGGAGATAGATAGGTATGAGTCAAACCTTCCTCTGTACTTAACTCGAGTGTGACTCACTGCTGCCCCCCCAAACGTCCCTCTGTTATTATGAAGCCTGTGTATCAGTTCCATCCTAGATATATGGCTCTGTGATTCACTGTTGGAGTCTCAGGCATCCTGGTCTCTGATCAGCTTAGCTGCTATGGAGTTCACAGGAGGAAGAATGAATAGCCCTGAGTTTGTCCTGCTCTGGCTAGCTGGAATACCCCATACCACTGCTGGGCTGTGATGTTTCAGGTGTTGTTGGATGAAAGAATGGAAAGTGGGATAGAGGGGAGAATGCATGGCAGGTGGATGTTGGTGGGTAGAGTGAAAAATGGGTGGGTAGGAGAGAGATAGAGAGAAAGACAGTAGGAGAGTATAAAGAAGGAGGCAGAATGGTTCTTGGGTGTCAGGTAATCTGCCTGCCACAGGGAAATGGGGGAATGATCCTAAAGAGACCGGCAAGCCAGTTGGCAATAAGGATGCCTATGCCAGAGAATCATTTTTCATTTATTGTCTTTTATCTGTTTACCCCTTCTGTCCATCTATCCACCAATCCATCCATCCACCTATCCATCCATCCATCCATCCATCCATCATCCATCCATCCACTCATCCATCCTTCCATCTACCTATCCATCCAGTCAGCCTATCTATTCTATTCAAATCACCTGCCTATCTTCTACCTGAGCATCAACTCCTAGACCTCTTTTTTCCAGTCAACCAATCCAAGTCACTTAAAATGCATGCCCCGAAAGCCAATCCATTGGTCTCCCTGAGGTCACTGTGGAGAAAGCACCCATTTTATTCACCCACATATTTATTATTACATATTTCCCTTTCAAATCTTTGTATTCCATTCAGATGATTCCATGAGCCCCAGACCCTGATGTTTGGAAACCTTCTAGATACCTCTTCTTCATGCCACAATGGGCACCCCCAACTCAGTGTTTCCCACACTAATCTTATAACCTTTGTGCAAAATCACTTCTCTTTCTGTGATCCCTAGATCATGGATGCGACCTAGATCATGAATGAGATCTAGGAATGTCCAAGCAAGAAAGTAATACTCATGCTTGATGCCTCACTTGATAGCCTAGTCCTAGTCCTAGTGAGTTTACCTTCTGAATGTCACATGAACCTTCCCACTACTTTCTGTTACAGTATCACCTTAGTCTGCGCCATTATTGCCCGCCCCCTGTACTTCCTGGAGCCACCTCTGTCCAAGCTACCTGACTCCTGGCTCACTTCCCTTCCTCACAGTTCCTAACAGCACATGTTCCAACATCCAAATACGATGCTAGTCATTGGCTCAGAATCCTCTCACGGCTTCTTATGAAGCTTAAAAATCTCAAACCATTCGGGTACCTCTGTAGCCTCACTTCTCAACACGTTTCGTAGGCCCCCAGAGACTCAGTGATGGTTTCCAACACTTGGTGCTCTTTCTTCTCTCTAGGCTCCTTTCTCTCTAACTTCATTTCTTTGCCTAATTCCTATTCACTGTATGGGTCAACTTCTCCTCTAGTTTCCTCTGACCAACCCTTGTTCTGAAGCTCAACCACTATTCTCAGTCCCAGGGGCAGCTCCTGGTGGCCCCGTCATGGTCCTCTACACTCTGAGCCCTTATTTCCACTCTGCACGTTTATATCTCCCAGTACTCTGACCTTTAAATGATGCTACCATCCAGAATAGTGTAATGATCACTGACTGACTGACGGAAGGAAGGAAGGAAGGAAGGAAGGAAGGAAGGAAGGAAGGAAGAAAGGAAGGAAGGGCAACCTGGTGATAGTCTGTGAAGATTGGTCTATATTGAAGGAGTCTGGTGAGCTCAGGATATGGGGTGTGGTTAGATTATGAAAGCAGAACTCTCTGGGGGTAGCTGAGGATTAGGGGTAAAGGAACCATCATTCTAAAGGGCAATGTATTCATTCCCCAAAGCCTTACCCAAGCCCTTTCAGACACAGGAATGAATACCCATCAGTGAGAACAGGGGAGGACGTGGTGGTGGTGTGTATTGTGAGGACAGAGGCTGGGTTCTTGTCCCAGCTGTGCCCAGGGTGAACCCATCACGTCACTCTAACTCTGAAGCCGTGTGTTTTTGTTTTTTGGAAGGCTATGGTTGGGTCCAAGGACAGCAGAAGTGTCCTTCAGCCCTAGCCTAGTTCTGCTAAGGCGGCTGTCTCAGCTCACTCTGTGCTCCCAGATGTGAGCGGCACTTCCCAAAGCAGAATTTCTCAGGAGCTCAAGACCCAATGTCCAGGACGGATGGAGATAGAAGAACAGGACTTACCTGAGAGGATAAAGAAGATGCCAGAGACAAAGGCCAGTATGGTCCGGTGGGGACGGATGTGCCCGACGTTGCTCAGGATGAACCCGATGAACATGAAGAAGAGGCTGACGAGTGGGAACGGGGTGGCAGAGCGAATCATTTCTAATGCAGGGGGCAAAGGGACAGCCTGTCAGGCTACAGCCGTGACCTTCCTTACACGCCTCGTTGCGGGCAGTACGTTCCGGCAATGTCTACCTACAAGCCCTACTCCCACACGGGTGGCCTCGGGGTCTCCTGGTGCTGGCAGGGCTTTTGTCCCCAATGCAGGGCTTCAAGGTCTGATTCCAACTATCAATATATTCAGAGGTCTGTCACGCCTTCAGGCAAAAGCTCCTCTCCCAGTAATCTACATTGCCTGTCTAGAGGAGAGCCGTGAGGTGCCTGGTCATGTCATCTTGCCTCATCTTCGAGAGGCATCCACCATTTCCAAGGACACAGGGCATGCTCTGAGTGGTACAGGGGACTGGCACTGGCCTCTTTCTTTTTCAGTTTATAATCACCTGGGGAGTTCTATTGAGAGCAACTGGGGAGAGCAACCAAGTTTATGCTTACAGGTTACTCAGGATGGGGGCAGGAAAGGGCAACCCTATTGATTAGAAGGTTGGGACTCGGGGCCATGCGACATGAGCCTGACTCAGAAGAGGGAAGGGGCTGACATGGGTTTAGTCATTCACATTGTCGTACATATTGGCCACTATTTAGAGAGTGTTTGAAGACTGCAGGACAAGTGTGTTGGTTATAATCACTTGGAGTATTAGGCCGTTTGATATAACAGATGTAAGGTTTGTATCCAGAGGGTCCTGGACCAACTCTAACAGACCAAGGGGATAAACTGTCTTATGACACTGCAAATTCATGTTGAGAGACGGAGCAAGTCTGGTGGGGTCAAGGTCATAAAGTCAGTCTTGGTACAGTCCAGAGAGGCTGCTTCAGTCTGGGTGTGAGTGTTCCTTCACTTCCTGGAGTCAGAGATATGGGGGTCCCAGCCATCTGTCTTCACCCTGGAAAGGAGAGCCTGCAGAGCACATGCTAGTAGAGCCAGCTAAGGCCCAGGGCACTAGCTCCTAAGAACATTCTGGATGTTTGACTCTTCCCTTTGTCTGGCTCTCTATACTGCCAGTGGCCCAGCTTAGAATATTCTAGACACCTACTTAGGACATTGACTGTGGATTCTGATGTTATCTGGTTGTTCATGGGCATCACATACTCTATGGTGAAACAGCGTCCTCGCTCCTCACCTGTGGAGACAAGAAATTACCACTATTTCCAGGTCCCACTCCAACTTGGATTCGAGGTTAGCACATTCTCAATGCTTCTAGGATCCTTGGGCCTGTGTTTCTGTACCTGGGCTGGGTAAACACTCTAGGGAAGCTCTCATCCCTTGACTGGGTCATGGCAGCGGGTGGGGGATGTGTCTTGATGCCACTTTCTTCCCGGAGTGAGGACTGAAGCACAGGGAAAGGTCAACACTGTGCAATCTATGCTGGGCAAGCGTCTGGTGCCTCTGTTGCTTTTGACTGGGCATGGTGCTTGGCTGTCTCGGATGCATGAGTGTAGATTTTTGTGCAATAACCTCCCACCACAGCCTTGTCAGTCAGACCCTGGTGGCCTCAAACTCTGCATCTGGTTAAGCAGAGATGGATGACACAGTATCTGGGGCAGTGGGAGATGAGGTCAGAGTTGGAAGCTGCTCCTAAAGCAAACTCTACAGTGACACAGGGCAGCCAGGCTGGAGCCGGTTGTGCCCTTTGTGCTAAACCCTATCAAACCTCTGCCCTATCCATCAAAAAAAAACCCTAGCATCAAGATGGGAGAAAAAACTGGGGGAGCCAAGCTGTATCTTTTCTCAACACACATACAGGTTCCAGGATCCCACAAGAGAAGCGCAGAGACCATACTGTGGCTATCCTGACCTGCATAGCTTATACACATTTTGTGGAACAGGAGGATGCTACTCTTCTGTAAGGTGGAACTCAGTTGTGATCAAACCCTCAAGGACAGGGCTCTTGGTGTAGCAACTCACTTGGTTCTAGAGAACCCCCAAGCCACAATAGCAAGGACAAAATTTGCACCTCCCCGGAAAGACCCACACTTAGGTTTTCTTTGTGCGGCCATTTCACAGAGGAACAGGAAGCTGTTGGGCATTTCCTGTTCCTTAACCTTGTGGATGTCAGTGAAGTAGGAGTCTAGATGAGCTTAGCCTGATAGAGTCTTCACTTCCTCTTTTATAAAGTGGCAATGATAAGCCTTCCTTGCAGTGTCATTGTGAGAATTATGTGTGATCAATAACATGACCCTGCAGATAAGGCCTGCAAGAGTGATTAGACATGAGGTGTCATTCAGTGCTGAAACACAGTGTAGGAAAACCAGGCTTGCCCAGATCTTTTAGAAGGGAAGCAAGCCCTGGGACCTGAGAGATTGCTCTCTGGACATTATGAACCAGGGTCTGAGTTTGGGTCTGTGATTTGGTGGCTGCTTGCAGCATGGCCCAGAGTCGGTGGAGATTGTCTATGCTGAACTGTCTACAGCATCTTCTGAGTGTCTCTAAGCAGGGAGAAAACCCCTTAGGGCAGGCATCCTCCAGGGCAGGACTGTCCTTACCAGCAAGGAAGCAGACCCGCCAGAGGCCTGAGTGCAGGGACATCTTGACCTCTGTGCTCTGGTTCTGGGGAAGGATGATGCCTTCCTCCAGGTACAGCCAGTAGTCCGTGCTGACTGCGATGCCCAGCAGGCCCAGGCCACAGACAGCAAAGACACTGCTCAGCAGGGTCAGGGCCTTCCTCCCACAGGCGCTCATCTTCGTGGATGATCACTGGGCAGTCAGCAGTGCAGTCTCAAGGGGACAATGGTCTATGGGGACAGGGAGGGAACATGAGCAGGAGGCAGTGAGCAGTAACTCAAATCGGTCTGCTCTGGGTCAGGGAATGAATAAGAGCAACTAGGCTACTTCCCAGTTTCCAGACCATCTCCACATAAGGGAGACTCACTCCTTCTGCCCCTCAGGGATTCACAGCTTTCTCTTAAGGCTACTGTATCTATTCCTTTGTCTTCTGTGTTCCTCTTACTACATGTTACCATCCATCCATCCATCCATCCATCCATCCATCCATCCATCCATCCATGTGTCCTTTCAGATATGAGAGATACAATGATGAGCATTCTACCCTTGCTCTTGAAGAGCTACCTATCCAGAACAATGATGCCCCCAAAGCAGTCCGATGTAACCCATTGTGGGTCATGGCTGAGACACCAGACAGGAAAAAGTGGGGATCAAGTTCTCTGGGTGTTCCTCTGAGTTGTCAAGGACACTAGGGGTCAACTGCTCTCTGACAGCAGGCTCCAGAAGTGGAACAGCTTTGGGGAGACCCAAAGGGACAGAGAAGGTAGCTTGTGGGAAGCATTCCTCTGATCCAATGGGAGACAGGGCCAGCACAGGTAAAGCAGCTAGAGCAAAGGTCAATTTACCCATATCTCCCCATATCTACCTGAGTGGATGTGGAATGACTGTTCTTTGCCTAGAGCTCTTCCTTGTCAGGGGCCAGCTCTGAACCATCCAGAGAAAAGCTGAGAGATACAACGATGAGCATTCTACCCTTGCTTCCAGGGGCTAGGGGAGTAGTGGGGAGTAGAGCAGATGGATGCTAGCCCCATAGAACTCATGGCCGGACTTGGGGCTTCTACACTATGCTGCAACCGACACTCACCCAGGAGTGTCTAAGAATCCTTTACTCTGGGATGCCTCACAGAGTCTGCTATGGTGTTCATCAGGACCTGAGTGACAACATCAAAAAAGTGCTCCCAGGTAATTCTAACACAAAGCTGGAGTTGAGAAAAATTGATCTTTGTCAGAGCAATAGTTCTGTGGAATAGTCTAGATGGCGGGGGAAGGGGTCAGCAGGCACCGTATCTTGGTTTTGAAGAATTGCATTGCATGGGGTATAGACAGACAGCATGGTTTACTTTCACTTACTTCAAATTTCCCCAGACTTATCTGGTCACAAAAGAGGCCTGGGAAACCCACATTGGGAGCCATGCTGCTCCTCTAAAGGATAAAACAAAACAAAACAAAACAAAACAACAAACCCTGTTTGCCCCATCCCCAGAATTGCTGGGGGATTAACTGCTGTGGTGGATAGGACTGAAGCTTGCAAAAGCCAAAGCTGGACCCGGTGTAGGGTATTATTATTCAGTAACAATGGACTAAAACCCCGCTTTTCACAGAGCAGACAGATCGGGACGCCTGAAATACGACAGTTGTTGCCCGGCGGAAGCTGAGCAGCCAATTTTAATGTTAAGCTTGGCAGAGATGAGAAAGATTTGGGTCTTAGAGATTTGGAGAGATGAAAGTGGAGAGGAGTTTGGATCCGAATCACTAAAGCAAAGCATAAAAGAGGCCGAAGGTGACCTTGCCTGAGAACTCTACAAGAACAGACCCTAAAGTCTGGAGTGTGCTTGGGCAAACCCGAAGGTCCCCTTCCTTTCTGGAGAATGGGACAACTGCATGGGGGGCAGAGGTGAAAAGCAAAGGAATTTAGCAGCTCATTGCCAACATAGCTATGTTTTTATTGTGACATATTCATTTAGCAGCTCACTGCAAACATAGCTATGCTTTTATTGTGACATCATATTCATTTAGCAGCTCACTGCAAACATAGCTATGCTTTTATTGTGACATATTCATTTAGCAGCTCACTGCAAACATGGCTATGCTTTTATTGTGACATCATATTCATTTAGCAGCTCACTGCAAACATAGCTATGCTTTTATTGTGACATCATATTCATTTAGAAGGTACTGACTGTTAATTACTGCACAAAGCCCTCACAAATCCCTTACAGGAACCCCTGAGTAGGTAGTATTAGCCTCATTTCATGGATGGGGAAACTGAGGCTTAGAGGTGTCAAGGGGCCTACAGGATATCATAGGTGTCAGACTGGATTGAACCCAGGTCCAACTCCAAATTCTCTGCCTAGACTGGTTTCCTGCTGGAGAAGTGAATGGGTTCAAGGAGTGTTCAGGCGGCAGAGAAACATGCAAAGAGCACATCCAAGAGTCTAGAGATGCGTAAGACACAGGTCTTGATAGTTTTCCAAATGATCCAGGATTACATAGGACTAGGGTAACAAATGTTTTGGGGCTTCCTTTGGGGTGACCTGGGGCTGTAGCTTCTGGTTTCATTTCCATGATGGACCACTATGACTCAGCATTTCTGATTCCGAAAGCCATGTTGTAAGCAATGAGACTAATATTACCCTAGACCCCACATCAGGCAACCAGGTTCCAGAAGGCAGAAGTGCCCGAGACAAACCAGTCTGTTATTCCAAGGAACAAAAACACTAGATACCAATATATGGACAGATCTTTTACAGGAGCTCTGGGGACCAGAGTCAGTTTCTCAGGCGTGTTCCTTTAACATGTCACTCACTCATCAAGCCGCCTCCCTCGCCCCGTTGCTCTGATTCCTGCTTCTCTGTCTCCTGACTCTCATCTCTCTACAGCCATGGTTTTCCCTGCCTCTGAAGGGAGAGAAGGACAATTGTTCAAGTTGCTCCCACATGAGAGATGTTTACTTTAGGACGTTCAATAAACAGAGCAGACTGCAAAACCACGAATTTAGCAGACGCTTGGCTATGTGAAAAATCTACAGACTGGGAAGAAAGAAACCAATATCAACAGAAGATGCTCCAGGTAATAAGGTTATGTGTGTTTTATGTTCTTTATGCTTTTCTGTGCTCCAGAAGGCTTCTGAAAGAACACACATTATTTCTACAGCCAAAGAACGTTAAAGATCAGAGATATCACTTCTCCGACCACTGCTCTCAGAAATTAAAAAAAAAAAAAAATGAAAGGTGCCAGCTCCCTCCTGGACCAAAGCTGTCACCATGCAGTGTCATCCTTTGGAAACTGGGGACCAGAAGCATGGTGGTTTTGTATGGTTAAGGATGATTACCGGTGTCATTACCTCTAAGTATCAGCTTGCTAATGATCAGGAATTAACGGCTGCTAATTATCATCCATGACCAGCAATTACAGAGAAATGTCTTGTGGAGATTAAATCACCAATGGTACATTTCCCTGCCCAAGCCGGTCCCGAAAGGACTTGGAGATGCAGTGCTCAGGGGCTCAGGGGTGGGTGAGGTACAAAGGATTGTAGGGAAGGTGGGTGAGGTTCACTAGAGAACAGTAGAAAGACAGTCAAATAAAGACACCCTTGCCAGTGAACCTGTAGTGGCCACGCCCTTTGGGTGTGGTTTCAGGTTCAGAGTGACCCTTTTAAGGTAGAGGAGCTGCTGGCAAGATGCCACTACACCCTGGGTCAATAAGTGGTAGAGCTTTGATGAAGGGCTTGGGGAGTAGGAACTGTTGACAAGGCTTTGGAACCAGTGACAGCCGCTCCTCTGAGGTGGTCCATTGACTCAACACTGGTGTGGTCAGCAGTCAGCAGGAAAAGGTGACCAGAGGACAGCCAGTGAGTCCTGATCCCCTGCCTGCTTCCTACCAGGGTGTCCTCATTATCTTCTTGAAGAGTTAAAAATGACTACAAGGGCTGGAGGGATGCTCAGTTAAAAGTGGGTTCGGCTCTCAGGACCCACATGGTGGCTCACAACAATCTGTAACTCCAGCTTCAGGGGATCCAACATCTTCTGGCCTCAGCAGGTAGCAGGCATGCATGAGGTGTACATATATACAGGCAAGCAAAATACTCATACACACACAATAACAATAAAATAGATTTTTTAAAATGATCATGTTATTTGATATTTTTTGCCTTGAGAAGTAGGGTCTGCGTCTCTCTCCCTTGAATTTAGACACGTTTGCGACTGCTCTGATTAAGGAAGTACACAGGAGTAATGCTATGGGACTTTTGGGCCATGAGAAGATATTGGATTTTCTCAGGAGCTGTCTCGGGGAAAATTAACACACATGTATGATGGCCAACCCGAGATCACCATGCTTTAGAGTGGGATTTCTCAACCTACTGACTTTTGGGGCTGGGAAATTATTTGCTGTGAGGGTCATCAACTGTGTACACTGTAGGGTGCTTAAGAGCGTCCCTATCATATCCACTGTCACCAGATGCCGATAGTATCCCAGCTCTGACAGACGAAAATGCTTCTCTACAGGAAATAACTACCTGACCGGGACCCACTTACAGAGTAGGTACCGACGCTGGGCTGGGCTTCTCACCGATAGCCAGCGTGGGCTACCTAACCGGTTTCAGCCTCCGGTCTCCCCTCACACCAGCCAACTGAAGAGATGTTAAGTTCTTTGTCCTGTGAGGAGTTACACTGTATAACAACACTGGATGATTTCATGGTAGGGCAAGTGGCATCTCAGAAGACACAGACGGTAAATACCCAAAACATATGGCTCTAAGTACCAAGCACACAGGGGCTCAGAAGGCACTGTCTCCTGAAGCCTGGAGACCTCAGTGTCATTCCATGCTTCTCTCTCCAAACTTGCTCTGTCTTGATTTTAGCTACCAGCTTCCACCAAATGGTCATACAGCTGCTGGCTGGGGAGCTGCCAGATAGCTTGTTCTCCCCTCTGGCTCTATCACTCTCTCTGTTATATTGCAGATGCTCTTGTTAAGGTTTGAGAATTGCTGGGCAGAGGATGCATTGTCCTTCAATAAGGAAGGCCCCAAGGAGTCTGCTTTCCACATTTTAACACACTCTGTTCTATGATTAAGCCACAGCCAGCCTGTCTGCCAGGAATCCAGCCTGTCAAGCTGAGGATACAGAGACCTGGCAGACCCCATCACACTGTGCCCCCAAACCTCCTGGAATGGAGGTCAATGTTTATTAAAACTCCTCCCACCCTTGATTTGGCAAGAGGTAGTTGATGG